TTAACATTTGAACCAGAAATTAAAACATACAATTTGAAACTCAAGCTACAGGACTTTGTATACAGAAGAACAACAACAAAGTGAAGGACATTTTGTCCTTAAGTTTTTTTATTCAATTTGCAAAATGAGGCCAGTAGAATCAAAGTTAAGGACATAGTGTTCTTATTTTTTTGAATTCAATTTCCAAAATGAAGACACTATGTCCGAAATACAGAATTATCATAGGAGGCAATGTCTATAAATTTATCAATCCAGAAATTCAAAAAAAATCAAATTCTTATCTAATATATAATCAAATCAATACAAATCTAAAAAAGTATAACTATAGCGAAATAAAAATCGATAAAAACACATGAAATTACAACTTACTGTTTATCTATGTCGTTTTTTTGGATTAGAATGTTGAATTTTTGAAATTGGGAAGAGAAATGGTGGTTCGTCCTCAGTTGATCGCCGCTGTGGTAACTGCTGCTGCTGCTCGCTTCTTCTCTTTGTGTAACTGCTGCTTATGTTGATAGCGTAGGTATAAGTTATACCAGAAGGACATTTTCGTCCAGTCAGGTATAAGTTTTTTAAAGGAGTGGCTAAAGTCTAAATACATTGAAAATTTTCTAACAGTGGCTTTAAAATAAAAGCCACTGCTTTTAGTGGCTATTTGTGCCGTTCGCCCTCTAATATGGGCCCATCAAACATGGAACATTCCGAAAGCTTCAGGCAAAGTTGTTCTCTAGAACATTACCCCCTTCCCAAAATATGGTTAATGACAGTTATAGAAACAAAAAAAGAAAACAGCAGAAAAATGCATCTTCTTCATCACAAAATTCCTCTTCCCTTCCACCGTCAACCTCTCCTCTTCAACCCCAAAATCATCCCCAGAAAACTAATAATCCCAATTCACTCCATGTCCACTTCATCTTCAGAAACAACTCATCAACACTTGGACCAACAACAAGAAGATGAAGAAAAACAAGCTTTATTATTAGCGCAAGTCTTGAAATACCACAAAGAAACCAAACACTCTTTCACCAACTACGCTCGTGGCCCTCGTGGTCTTGATTGGGCTAATCAGCCCAACCCTTTTCGTCGTTACGTTTCTTCTCCACTCATCCCTCTCTTACACTCTCCATTTCCCGATGAATCATCTCCTCTTTACTCCTCACTTTTCAAGACTCTCCCTTTTCCAAAACCCATTTCCCATTCCACAATTTCTCAGCTTTTTTACGATTCTTTAGCCCTATCAGCTTGGAAATCTACTGGGTTTTCAACTTGGTCCCTTCGTGTAAACCCTAGTAGTGGAAACCTTCATCCAACCGAAGCTTATATTATTAGTCCACCTGTTGAATCAGTGTCAGATAAAGGTTTTGTGGCCCATTATGCTCCAAAAGAGCATTCTTTGGAAATTAGAGCCCAATTTCAATCTGGGTTCTTCACAAGATTCTTCCCTGAAAACTCTTTCCTTATTGGGTTATCATCAATTTTTTGGAGAGAAGCTTGGAAGTATGGTGAAAGGGCATTTAGGTATTGTAATCATGATGTGGGCCATGCTATTGCTGCTGTTTCAATGGCAGCAGCAGGGCTTGGATGGGATGTGAAGGTTCTAGATGGATTGGGTTATGAGGAGTTGGAGAAGTTAATGGGCCTTGAACTTTTTCCCAAGTTTAATATCCCGTCTCGGCCCGTGAAAGGGACAATGCCTGAGATCGAATTGGAACATCCGGATTGTGTTCTTTTGGTTTTTCCTAGTGGTGTGAATGAATTTGAAGTGGATTATAAGGAGTTAAGTAATGGTATTTCGGAGTTTTCGGGTTTGGATTGGAAGGGTAAGCCTAATGTGCTTAGTAAAGAGCATATTTGTTGGGATATTATATATAGAACAGCCGAAGCAGCGAAAAAGCCATTAACAATGTTTAATGGATCCGTAGTTGATCCATTTCAGAGTAGTGGAACAACCAGTGAAAGCTCTTATAAGGATTTTAGTTTAAGGGAATTGGTTAGGAAGCGTAGGAGCGCGGTTGATATGGATGGTTTTACCGAAATGGCAAAAGAAACATTTTATCAGATGTTATTGCATTGTATGCCTTCTGGTTCGCATGACAGAGAGAAGCATGTTAGGCAATTGGCATTGCCATTTAGATCACTGGCTTGGGATGGTGAAGTGCATGCTGCTCTGTTTGTTCATAGAGTTGTTGGCTTGCCTAGTGGATTATATTTTTTGGTGAGGAATGAGAACCATTTGGATGATCTTAAGAAAGCTACTAGAGCTGAATTCAAATGGGTGAAACCAGATGGTTGTCCTGATGATCTTCCTCTGTATGAACTGTCAAGAGGCGACTGCATGGAGCTTTCAAAACGATTGTCATGCCATCAGGTATATACTTCTGCTCTTTGATTTGATCATATTAGTGGAGCTGCTTTTGGATAAGTCATATTAGTTGGGATCAATTTGTCTTTAAAGACAAATATAAGTGCTGGAATGAAGCCGGTGCAAATGGATCAGAACAGATGTTGAGGATTCATAGAACCGACCAATCTAGTTTTGTGTTGAAGCTTAATTATTGTTGTTATTTTGATATGATCAAATATAAGTGCTGGAATGAAACCGGTGCATATGGATCAGAACAGATGTTGAGGATTCATAGAGCCGACCAATTTATTTTTGTGTTGAAGCTTAATTATTGTTGTTACTTTGATATGATCATACTTGCGCATAACTTATACCTGTCAGATTGTTACTATTTCTCTGATCAGATACCTCTGGTACCAGAAGATATAGTGACATTAATATTTTTACTTCATATCCAGATTTTTCATCCTCCATTTCTCTATTATCTCGTTATTAATGAGTCTTTTCACATTACAATTATGGTGCCTACAACTTTCTGACATTGTGGTGGAATTTTCAAAAAAGTTGTCATTGTACAAACTCACAAAACATATGATTAGTTCTTACCATTGTAAATGTGTTCTTGGTTGTTTAACTGTAAAATCTTATTTTATTTCTTTTCCCCCTTTCATACTAAGTGCTGTATATCTGATTATAAAATTTAGAATGAAGTGTTTTCATTCTCCAACGGAAATAAAGCTAAAGACAAGGGTAAAACAAACGTTTTGTCATACTTAATATTGTTGATCCTTTACTAGTTCTTATCTCTGTTAATTGTCATACTATGTAGAATCATGATGCTAGGTGGACTTACAGTCAGATCAAGCTCATTTGTTGCTTGTAGCGCTTCAAATGACCTCTTTGGGAAATTCTTTATGCAGGACATTGCTAGTGATGGCTGCTTCAGCTTGGGTATGATTGCCCATTTTGAGCCGACTTTGCGCAACAAGGGTTCTTGGATGTACCCACGGTTATTTTGGGAGACAGGAGTTCTGGGACAAGTTTTGTATCTTGAAGCGCATGCAGTTGGCATCTCTGCAACCGGAATTGGCTGTTTCTTTGACGATCCTGGTATATTCTCTCTACCCTCTCTATTTATCTTCACATTGTAAATGTTTATTACTCACACATGCCAAGAGTCTCTTTCCTTGTTGAACCTCATTTAGGGAATAAAAATGTCCATAGAAGCTGGAAACAATAATATCATGTTTAGAATTGTGTTTTCTACTTAAGATATGCAAAAGATATTTTACTTGCCAGTTCCTAATCTTAAAGACCGAAAGAGAAACTTGCACCCAAGGGTGTAGCCTAGCGGTTAATGAAATGGGAGGAGAACCATGAGGTTTCAAGGTTCAAATCTCAGTGGAGTAAAAAAAATACTTGGTATGCATAGTTACCCGGTACCTATGCTACTGGGAGGTAGTTGGTACGAGGTGTATTGGTGGATGTGTGCGCAAGTTTGCCCCGACACCGCCGCCATAAAAAAGAATGAGCCAAAAGAGAACCCTGAAAAATGTAAAGGAGGAAGTGGAGGGAAATGAAAGAGGACATTGAGAAGTCTAATACTAATTTGAACTTGGTTGTGGATTTTATGGAAGAAGTAATATGAACTTGTGGAATTAACTTATTGTGATTCTTACTATTGTTATCACCTTTTGTTTAAATCACCTTGTTCTTCCGTTGAAATCTGTCACATAGAAAACCTAATGTATGTACTACCTCCGGAGCGTAAAAAATCTAAAGTAATCGTATTAGCAAAATGTGAACCTGAACATATGC